ACCACGCCTATTTTTTTTTTTTTAAATACCCATTACACAGTAAATCTTAAACACAAAAATGGATTCACTCATTTTTAAAATGTTTATAGTAGAATTTTAATAACATAATTACAATACAGAACATAACATGACAGAAGTGTGCTATTTTGCAAATGTCCGATGAGTGAATAAATGTACAAAAATGTATACTTTTAGTAAGTCTCGTCAGTCTTTCTCACTCACAGTCTGTCAGGAAAAATAAGAGAAAAAAGAACATTAGTATATCATAATTAGTATCACGCATTAGATATTTTAAGACAAGCACATAAATGAGTGTCACCCAAGACATGAGTGCCTTTTTAAATGAGGAAATTTTAGCTACTTTAATAACAGGCTATTTTTAGACATAATACTTCATTATATACATAATATTAATGAAAACATTAGTGTAATTGTACCTCAGTTTTGAACTCACAGTTTCATACATTTTTGGTACACTCTAAAAAATGCTGGGTTGTTTCAATCCAATTTTGGGTCAAATATGGACTAACCCAACTGTTGGGTTAAATTTTGGTTACATTTTTAAATTAACTTTTTAACGCAACAGTGAGATACATCCAGCTGCAGACCCGCAGCACCAGCAGTTTCAGAACCACAGCCACAGAACCGTAGCCACAGAACCGCAGCCACAGAACCGTAGCCACAGAACCGCTGCCACAGAACCGCAGCCACAGAACCGTAGCCACAGAACCGCACAATGGAAAATCAATCAATAGCCTGACAGAATTCTTCATCTTCATATAACGTTAGCCAACACATTAAAACTCAAGTCAAAAACAATAGGAAGGTTTATCAAGAAATAGCATTAAAACGACTTTTAAAAACGTACTTCGTGTAGGCTGTATCATCTAAAAACAAAACAATGCAACAATGCCCATTTTACTTACTCAGACCATGCGTTATTTGTTCAGTGAAATTATCAGCGTGGTCTGGTGAAAGACGGGACCTGAGGCGATTAACAATAAAATTACGGCACTTGAAAAAACGCGCTCGGCAGGAACTGAAGTCGCAGGCACGCAGAGATAACGAAAAGCAAGCCGATAAGAGTTTCAGAAAGCGCCTGGACATCCCGCACCAGCTATCTAGTACTAGTGAATGATGTGATTGACATTTGCTGGTTTTGGTCAGCCTCTAAGCTAACGCCTACGTGCCTGTATTGAATATGATTACGCATCGTTCCAGAAGAGTTATTGTAAGACAATTTGACATTACACAGTCTCTCTGTTTCTCTCACAGGTGGCTGATAACGTTTATGACATGTTTCAAACCCGGTACACTCTGTACAGCCAGGCCTACCAGCACAAGATAGGTGCAATATCAGTCAGAAAAAGTGGAGTTTTGTGTGTTTTTACTCAGTTTTTAAAATCCTCATGTGTTGTTTATAGTCAAGTATTTAGTGGTTCATATTTTTAATTTGTTCTTTAGAATTATAGATGCCCTCTTAGAAGCTAAAGACAAGCTCCCCAAGATCTCACCAATCGCTGTGTCCAAATTACAAGATGATATCAAGAGAAAGATCCAGAGGATTACAAGAGCCTCTTCAGACACTCGTGAGGATGAAGAGAACTCAACAGAGAGATGAGAGAGTTCGCCAAACTGACAGGTCAGTTGAACAGACGAGATTTATATTTAGATTTACTCTTTTGTTTTCTACTCGGCTGTTTTCATTTGTTTCAGAGAAGCCTTTTTGAAGTTTCATTTATTGAGACAAAGGATAAAGTTCAATCAAAACTCTTCTTCTTTCCATCAGATCATGTCTTTGAGGAGATCTTGTACTCCAGTGATGTCGGGCTGGAAGGTGCCTGAAAGAAACTCGAGGATGTTGTCAAGAGACGCCTGCCAAAGTGTGTGGGAGAGACCAGACTGGGGAAAAAAGACAAACATGCACACAAAAAGTCCCTACAGGTATAGAGAACTGAAAAAAAAACATGACATACAGTTTCATTGACATTGCACACCAGATTTCAGACATATCCCAGTGTCACTGCTGTAGTACATACATACAGAATTTATTAGTTTGGCAAATTCTCTCCTACCAAAGCAGCTTACAAAAACCAAAACATGTTATGTGTTATTTGCATTATTATTTGTTCACATGACAATATGATGACAGTCCAAGAATCTGTCAAAGAGCATGTATTGCTCATTTTCTGTAAACAGGGTATTATATAATTTGGCAGTAAAATATGATGTTCAGCAGTTTTCCTTTCATAGCTTAATTGAGCTATGAAACTCATATCTAATGTTTTTCCTAAAACATTTTTTGTAACTTACTGTGTTTTCCGGAAAATGCCTATAAGCACTGGATAAAGAGTTTTTACACTTCCAAATATTTTTTTTTTCCAAATTAATTTGCCATCCGCAGTTATATTATCAACAAAATTGTCTTTGTCCCAAAACATGGAGGGCGCTGTATTTACAGTTGCAGATTTCACTGATTTATCATCTGCTTTGACTTCCTGTTCCTGTCCTGTTTTTCTTCACAAACATTGGATTGATTTATTATTGTGAGTAATTCACTAGTGTGAAGAGAAGTATAGTGAATAGGTCAGCATACATTATTTACAGCATACATTACACAACACAGTTTTACCCTTATAAACTAAACTATACTGTTAGAAATTGTGCTTTTATAATGGGCAAATACAATGTAGCATTACCATTATTACTCCATTAAAATTACTTAAATGTTTAGTCCAGTTTATCAATAATACACTATCCAAATTTGGCAATTATTGAATATCAGAATAATGGAACAGTGAAAGGAAGGAATTAATGGGGGAAAAATGCATTCCATATCAAACTCACAATTATGACACCTCTATTTAATGAACTTATATTTACATTTACATTTAGTCATTTAGCAGACGCTTTTATCCAAAGCGACTTACATTTGGGGAATACATAAAGCGATTCTTCTTAAAGAGGCAAACAGATACAGGAAGTGCTTGTAATACCAAGTTTTTAGACATTGTTCAAATAAGTACAAGCTAGAAAGAGAAGGAATAAAAGATAATTTTTTTTTTTTTTTTATATGCTTGATTCTGATTGGCTAGCTGATTTTTATTTATTTTTTTACTTCACGGCTAAAGTAGTTCTAGTTTTTATTGAATTACACTTTCATATCACTTCCATACAGTTTCATTTT